GCGGTTCTTAATTGAGGTCTAGCAGTAGAACACATTATACAATTACTAACATTACTTTGTTGTGCAGTAAACATCATCTACTCAAACCATTCATTTTTATCAACATCTCCTGGCCATTACATCCTGTATAGTAAGGTCTTTCAGGTATTCTACTCCCTCATCCACTAGCAGTGCATTAGTACTGTGAAAACTACCTAAAGGAGGAGATTTTATCTCTGCTTTGGTAATTTTTATGCAGAAGGCCCCTATTGGGTCGCTTCCTCTCAGATATACGCCTAGGGGATATATGCCACTATCAGATGGTCTGGCATCTTTTAGAGTTGTGAGAAGGGGCTACAGCTGTTAAATGTACAATCTTGAGGGCCGCTGTTGCCTTTAACTATAGTTGGATGATTCTTCTGTGGGGAAGTGGGATTATATCCCCAGTGTAAGGGTCCGGTGTTGGATATTACAAAGTGCCACATGGGACAGTATATGATACTATCCCCATACATACCACTTCCATCATCCTGAGTACAGATATACTTGTCTGCCCAAATGTACTGTTTTGGGTCTCCATAACATTGTATAAGGTTACACAGGTCAATTTTTGCCACTATGGTATCGCCTTTTTTTTTGCCCTCCATCACAGGCATAGGGTCACGAATTTCAAGGTATATTTTATTTCTCAACTTTGTCTCTATTTATGGTGCTTCAGCGAAGAGCCAGGAAAGTAATAAGATTACAACTATTCCTACAGTTGACATAATTAAGATGCCTTAATTGAGATGGGTTGTCCACTGTCATTTTTTTTGTTTGTGATGCTTTCTTAGCTTCCTCATCAGCTTTATGGTTACCTTGTGATATGGGATCTGTTCCTTTAGTGTGTGCTGCGTACTTACAGATTGCTACTTTTTTTGGTAACTGTATAGCATCTAAGAGAATTAAACTGAGATCTCTGTGGTTAATTGGTTTCCCTGTGGACATCACCATGCCTCGGTTTTTCTATTGTTGTGCAAAACATGCACTGTTGAAAACGCATATTGACTATTGGTGTAAATATTGGCTATTTTCCCTTCAGCTAATTTCCACGCCTCTGTAAATGCCACTAACTCTGCTGCTTGGGCGGAGTAGTGTTTTAGTAGGGCGTTTGCTGTCAGTATGGCGTCACGTGTTACTACAGCAAACCCTGTTGCATTTGTTCCATCTGGGTTTTTCTTACTTGACCCATCTACAAACATAGTACGCATGTCTGCATCGTCATAGGGTACATTAGTTAAATCCAGCCTAGGGAGCACTTTCTCTGCTATTTCTGATAAGCAGTCATGAGGTGTCCCATCTGATGCTATGGGTATGAATGTGGCTGGGTTCAATGTTGTGCATCTCTCAATGGTTAGGTGTGGGTGTGATAGTGACAGTCATCCATGAGAGATGTCTGGATGGTGACAAATAGGAGATTTTATCTTGCAACAGTATTACTGCTACTGCGTGGGGCACTTTTGGTGTTAGAGGATGAAACAATACAATGGAGGCTGATGCCTGTACTGCCATAGATGCGGCTATGTCAGCCTGCACACAAGGTGGCAGGGCTCTAGCTACAGTGTCCAATCAACTTGAATAATAGGCTATGGGTTTATTCTTTCCCCCATAAGTCTGCATTAAGACTGACATCATATATCCCCCCCTTACAGTCAACGGTTTGAACAAAGGGTTTAGAATAGTTTGGAAATCCTAGCGTGGCAGAAGTTACTAGCAGTTGTTTAATCTGTGTGAAAGCTTTTTCTGCTTCCTGTGTCCAGGTGATCCGATCTGCTGCTGCTAACAGAACGTCATAGATTAGCGCCATTAATGGAGCTGTAATAACTGCATAGTTGGAAATCCAGCTCCAGCAAAGATTTATCATACCTAAGTGCTATTATTAAAAAGGCGCAGCAGAGGATGTACTTCCTATGTCAGATCAGGAAGTTCATACCATCATTTGTCTTTTAGTTTGTGGTTTAGGTGCTTGTAAGATTCTCCTGCTCTCATCTAGATGTTTTCCCTCCAGTGAGAGGTTGTAATAAGAGTGTGCATGAAAGATGCCAAGTTTGTCAGCTGTAGGCAGCTCTCAGTGCAGTTTCCCATAACAAGGGTCTGGCCTTGGGGGAAAGTCTAAAGTACAGTCACATAAGAATTCAGTGTCTTCCCCATTTATTTTTAGATGAGGTTGTGTAAAAAAACCAAATGAAATAAAATAAATTATAGCATTATAACACCTTGTAAGTTTAGTATATCATTTTACTCGTGCAGCTCCTTTGTGTGTATATCAGACTATGCAAAGCAGCAGACCTGGCACAAGTTGCATAAGATTAACATTAAGAAAGACTTGGAAACAAACTGTACTTCCACACAGGTTACAGGCATAATAATTCATATCGACAAAGAGTGTAGGTCTCAAGTTCCATCTTAATTTTTGCTCCTCTGTCAAAAGAATTTTTAATGAAAAACCTCTTTTCCTATTTGTCCCTAAGGAATACATTTTCCTTCCTGCTTTTCCTATTTTCTACCTCCTTTTAACTCTTTGCTTCCTCATAACCATGATTTAGTAAATATATATATTTTTTTTTTATTCGAAGTGCTACTCAGAATGTAATTTAGTGTATTTGTGAGGTGAGCAGTGCGGCGGTCGATCATGTGTTTAGTGATAAAACTGCTGCAACCGAGTAAGAAATACATGCTCATTATGCATTGAGGGGTTACTGTAAGATTGTATGTGTACATGTCTGCTTGGGTTTTAGCTTGTTTTACTTATTTATTTATTGATAGTTAAATAAGGTTTATGTCATTGGATGGGTGAGGCACTGTTAGGATGGCTTTTAAATTTCATTGCATGTGTTGCAATGCCATATAAAGTTTTAAACTTAAGCTAAACCACTGTCTTGCAGTTGTATGCCTCCACTAAACAACCAAGTTGCCATTTCATGCATGTTTGTCCACACTCATAGAATATGAGAATATGCATATAGAATATGCTACAATGTAGTGAAGACTTTGAAAGATTCTTGACTCCAAGTGGACGTTTGTGCCAAATTTGAAGAAATCGCCTCAAGGTGTACCTGAAATATCACATTCACAAGAATAGGACAGAAAATCTAATCAGTTCATCCTTGAATCCAATTGAATGTTTGTGCCAAATCTGAAGGAGTTCCCTCAAGGCATTCCTAAGATAATGGTGCACAGTTTAAGACAGTGTTTTAGGGTACTCTCATGTCTTAATATTAGAGATTCCAATAAGAATGTATGCAGAGAAACAATGGAAAATAATTTATTTATTTTTTGCTTTATGTGCTACACACTACAATCCGTCTACTATAATGCAGTCAAGTGATTTATGGGAATTAATTCATCATTTCCATCTCTGTCACAGACTTTGTGGTTTTCCTGCTGGGAACGTTCCAGAACGTGAGCATCTCAGAGAATGAGAGCGTGCAGGCCGTGGTGTCCAGGATCCCTTCAGAGGTTGCTTTCATCACGCTGCAGTTCCACACGCATCACCACAATGCCACGCTCTCCTACACCAGGGTGAGAAAGTGTCAAGTTGCCTCACAGTTTGAGAGGAGGGCCTCTAGTCTGACAGCGTTTAATTGGTGGTGACAGCTGATAAAACATGGGATGTTGTGATCCTAATGTGGGTGTGTTATGACCAGCTAATTAGTGTAGGCACTTAACACAGTGTTTTCTTCATGTTTGTTTATCTACGTCCATCAAAATGCATGTTTTTGTTTGTTTTTTACTTTTAATGGATTGCACTGAATATGACTTTACACTGTGACTTCTGAACATGTGTACGGTAGAGGCATTAAAGTCAGTTAAGCATATGAATGCTCATTGAGTCTCGGTAGAAATTAAAGCAGCAAATATTTTCTTGAAACAGTAAAAATGCTAATTAAACAGTGTAACTGAAGGTATGCCTTAGCAGGGAGTTGGTTCTACCACAGATTAATGAATGAGGCTTTGTGAGTGAGGTCGTCTGATCCATACTGAGAAAAGTGGCAGTCAGCTGATGTACAGTCCACTGGTCATGGGTGGTAGTCAGGGTGGCCCTCTGGGAAAACCTTGTGGCCTCGCTCCCAGAAGTCTCAGGGGGAAAGCTTGGTTTGGGTCCAAGCAGCACAGACCAGCATGTCGCCTAATTTAGTTTAGCTTTGTTTTTCCTGGTGATGGAAGCCTCCAGAAATAAGAGAAAAGAAAACAAACCCCTATGATCAAAGACACAGTGGCAATCAAAAAAAAAAATACAACTTGAGCTGATCAGTAGCATTCAAATGACCAAATATTCACTGAGAAAAACAGGAAGTAGGTTATTAAAGAGTGAATGTGCACATTGCACAATTTCGTTTCCTTTATAGTATTATCTTCATTTCACTAGTTTCCTTTTTCATTAAAGTGGTAAACCACAGTTTTTTATTTTTGTTTATTTTATTGGCCACCAAGGTTACTACTGCTTGTCAGACCATTTCTTGTTCTGGTTATTTCCACAAAGCACAAGTGTAAAAATAATAGATTTCTGTACACCAGAGGAATTTTTTATGTTAGGAACAATCTAACAGATAGAGTCCAGCATGTTTAAAATGGAAATGTAATTGCTTTCAGCATATACAGGGCTCCAGACTGCAAGTGATCTGTTGCATTTTGCAGCCAAATTTGTTTACGCTGAGACTGAATGTTTTTTCAAAGGTTGCACTGGGTGCAACTGCAAAATAAACAGGTTATGCACAAATGAATGTTCTCACTGTAGAAATGGTGGGCAGATGTCACGGTCTCCGTGATACTGTCATTGCAACACTTATCTGCAAGTTTGTCACTCGCCCAGTCTATCAAATTGTCAGTCCACACTGATTCAGACACGTGCGTCATCCCTGGACCCCTTTTTTATGCTTTGTGTCTGTTTTTTTTCCTTTGGAGCATTTGAAGTGCAATCACCACAAATAGATGCTCAAATCAGGCAGATTGTCTGTTAGAATATTTGTGTTAAACACAGTGGATCAGGCTCCTGGTGTCACTACTGTCAGTGAGGGCCATACTTTCCTCCTGCTGACAGTTCTTATGACGAGAGATGCTGCACAGACCTCGGTGTCAGTGTGGATTGAACGGTATGGCGTGGGGGAACAGATCAAACACTTAAGTTGCATATGTGTAACTTAAGTGTTTGATCTGCATATAAGGCAGCCTAAAAATGAGCTGGCACTTGAAGGTGAGTGAGAGTGTGATTGAAGTCTAACACAGACATCAAGAAAACAAGCTACAAACTAAAATATAACAGGCTAATCATCATCATGTTGACTCCTAGCACTACAGTGACTACATAAAAAGAGGTGGAAACTTGTTCTAGATGTGATTTTCCCATTTATTGTGTGTCATAAGTCTCCCTCTCCCTGAAATTCATTATACATACAGGCTATGTATGTTGGATGGTAAGGTTACTTAAAAGAATATGTGAAAAATACATATTCTTTTACATTATGCCGAAAAACAGGTGGTGCCACCACCTGAGAGACTCGGTGCCACCAGTATGAAATGTTAGTCTGGAGCCCTGATATGCTAGGTTGAGTCACTGTGGTGCTTGCTTTTGATTGGTTAAGCTGTAAACCCTTTTTATATAATTGTGATTGTACTAGTTTGACGTTCAAGTGCCCTTATGGCTTATTAGACAAATTTCCACTACATCAAATTGAATATCTCTGTCCACACCAGCACTCTCTGAACAAGACCAGTGTTACACAGTGGAACAATGGAGTTATTGTAGGAGCCTTGTGCTGAGAGTCATTCTAGGTGCATAGAGTGCTTTATTGTTGCCAAGCATGTGAAGTCATTCAAATTGTAGCATATAAGGCAGTTAAAATTAACTTATCCTTATCAATATTATTGGAACTTGACAGCTGCTCTGACAAAAGAATTCATTCAGTTTCATTGCATGACTTGTTTAGCAACACAGTTTGTGCAAAAAAAACGACTGAACATATTTTGTCATTTCTAGTGAATGACTGCAGTCATGTTCTTAAAAGTGTAGACTGTGATGACTTAATCCTTAACAGGTGACATGAACTGTATGCTAGCAACACAGGAATCCTTGAAACAAAGAACCAAGTGTGCTGTGATGTTTCTATAGTCATTACAGTATAAACTTTGGTGATTCTCTCAGTTTTCCTCATTAGGTCAAAATTTTGTCCAGTACCTGTAAAACTAATGACATTTCTATCAGCCTCAGCTCTGCATTATTGTTGCACTAAGTAGCATATGTTACCATGCTAACACACCAGACTAAAGAGAACATGGTAAATATCAGCATGCCAGCTTGTTCACTGTGAAAATGTTGCCATGATAGCATTAGCATTTAGCTCAAAGCACAACTTGATGTGCTGTGTGTATGGTTCTTGCATCTGCTTACTAAATGCCACTTTTGTGTGGTTCAGACACCAGGCCTGGGTCTGTCTCTGACAGCAGTGGACTTGGGGCTCCTGTCAGCTCTCCAGCCAGGCCAGACATCCCTCTCCTTGTTCATATCCTCTCCTGGTGCTGACACTGTGGCAGGCACTGCAGTCACCCTTCCATTCTCCAGCACTGGTAACTCTTAAACACTCCTCTGGATGTTTATGTTGGGCCATTAAAAAAAAAAAAAACCTCAGTGTGCACCTTAACTTGAGTCTTGCATGAGAAGTTAAAAACAAGGAAGTTGCATGGTGGTGTTCATGAAATCTCTTTGTGTAAAGCCCTATACATAAAACACTGAAGTAATTCTCAGTTGATTTTGACTTGAGGAAGTTCATGCAGACCATGAGTACTGGCATTGATTGTGTATGGTGACTCAGCATCCTTCCTGGTGTGTTGAAACACTCTTACAGCACAGCCACTTAGCCTCAAGGGCTTGTTTAGTGTAGTCTTCCATTCATACTTGGTAAAATTTCTAATGATAAATCTGTTTCATGTTTTAGACCCTGTCCCAGGCGCTTGTAACATGGAGTCCACCCTGGACATCGACCCAAATGTCTATGTTCACTACAATCTCTATGAGACCATGATCCGTTTTGCACCAGCAAACCTAGGATATGAGAGGTAACACAAGACTTAGTGTCAACCTCTGCTCACCTTTGTGTTCAGTCTGTTTGGCTGTGGGCAGCAACAACTCTGCACACACAGCGCATCTGCCAGGACGTGCCATCAAACCACCTCACTGTTTATTTGCTTTGAAATGCTCTCATGCTCTCTCTGTCTCACACACACACACACACACATATCCTTGTTTTTGTCACTTACCAGGTCCCTACATAGACCTACATTCATTTCCAGGAGACTTACCCTAACCTTAACCAGAACTTCTGCTTGCCTAACCATAACCCTAACACCCAACACTTAACCAAAGCCTACACTTGCTCTAACCTTACACCCCATCGATTTCATAAAATTCAACAAACTAAATTGTGGGGACCAGCCTCCAATTCCCACAGGGGAGTTACCTTTGCATAGCACATACGAATTATAGCTGGGATTTGAGTATGTGTACTTACAGCAATCAGCCATAACATTATGACCACTGGCAGGTGAAGTGAATAACACTGACTATCTGTTACAATGGCACCTGTCAGTGTGTGGGGTATATTAGGCAGCAAGTGAACATTCAGTCCTCAAAGTTGGTGTTGGAAGCAGGAAAAATGTGCAAGTTTTGTTTTGTTTTTTGTTTTTTTTAAGCATGTTGTTTATGGACACTGTCTGTTTCTCAAAGAGAAAGGTGAACCTACAGTCCTGACCCTGCAGCCCCTGCAGTAGATGCACATATGCAGCAGGTCTACTGAATGCAGTCCATTCATACGAGACTGCCATCACAGACTCTAACACGTGATTGCATTTGCCACAATGCTAATGAACCACTGAAATACACAAAATGGCACAAGTACCAAACCATATCAGGTTTCAGTTTTAGTATCCTCGTGCTCGTTCTCTCACACTCACCCACTCTGTTGCTCTTTCTCTCTGTTGGTTAAATGGCATTTAACCATTCATATCGATAAAGTTGGTTTCCATCAGAAATGGTGACATTTATTGAACAAAGTGAAGAAGTCTCTGGGTTATGGTGATTTTCATCTTGCTCAGTTAAAAAAAAAAAAAAAAAACATGAGCAGGACTACCTGCTGGAGAAGGGCCTCAACTAAATGCCCGGATGTCCAAAATTGAAGCTAACTTCAAAGACTGACTGTCCCTGCTCTCTGGCAGAGGTGAAGCTCCACCAGCCTGTGATCAGTCGACGGAGAGCAGCACACGCTGGCGGCTGCAGTATGACATCTATCGGTACTTTCTGCCTGAGAATGACCTATCAGAGCGTAGCCTGTTCACTGGAATTCAGGTCATGGCCAACACCCAGGCTGTGATGGAGAACGGGAAACGGGTGAGCAACACAAACATACTGATTTACCTGGGAAAAGTTTTTTTTGAAGTGCTTATGTTGCAGTTCTTAGCTGTTTAAAATTCTAGTTTAGCTTGAATAATACAAGCCATGACAGGTGGCATGCAGCTGGAGAACCTTTCATCTCTCTGTCTCCCTGCAGATCATGACGCTGTCATCGTCAGATATGAGCATGGCAGTGTTCAACTCCATCCCCGGTCAGGGCGTCATCTACTCTGTCATTGTCAGAGATCCACTGTTGAACAGCTATGCCTCCTATGTCCCTGTCCACACCTATGCCTGCAGCTTTGCTTCCACTGTGGATGGCTGTCAAACACTTGGTGAACTCCTGTACCAGTCAGATAGCTCTCTAGGCCTGATTGGTTTATTACATTGCTGGTATTGTTGAATTTTTTTGAATTTCTTCTTTTTTTCTCATGTATTGTTTTTGTTGTTGTTTTTCAGGGAAGATATCTACCAAAGTGTTTTTCACTACCACTGGCTTAGCAGGCCTGTTTGTCTGCTTCCTTGGGCATCGATTCTTCCAAAGTGGTGAGTAGTTTCACATTGCTTAATGTGATGTCATGTAGTTACTTTCTCTTGTTCTGCATAGTTTCTGGTTCCATCATGGTTCCCATACATATATTTATGATTATGAGGTCCAGGACTATTGTTTTCCTACTGAGAAGTCATTTGAAGTCCAAGAATCAAGCAGTTTCTTCATGCTTGAGTCTGAGAAAACAACTTTGAACAGTTGTGTCTGTTGGGTGAACAGCAGGGTCACGTGCATTTAGGGGTGTGACGATACACATAGCTCACAAGATGAGACAATACGTGGTCATTGGGCTGATGAGACAATACTATTAGAAGAGTTGGATCTCCACAATTGCCAGCGTTGTGTTGAAAAAACAAACAAACAAACATGGAAAGGCAGAGCAGTTCAGAGACGGTCCGTCATGGTTGTCATGTACATGTATTTGTGTGTGAGAGAGAAATAGAGCGGCTCAGGGAGGGACTGAGGGAATACATGTGCTACACATGGCAGTATATTGAAATAAGATTTAACCGATTTTAAATCAATATGTGGCGGTCAGTGTTGATATTGTCACGGTCCACCACAAACAAATCAATGTATGGGAAACACTGAGCTGTGTGGGACGTTCTAACTGATCTCTTTTCCACAAATTGAGCATAAAACGCGTCAGTGGTCTCCTTCACGTGTTATACAGAAATGTGATTATTCCAATCTCTGCCTGTGACTGTGACCTGCCACTGTGATAAATCGGCAAATGATATTGTTAGTGGAGTTTTATCCAGTGTGTCTCCTGCTTTATTCTGGACCATGTGGTTTCATGCAGCTCCAGCAGCTGAATGTTTAGGTACATTAATGATGTTTGAGTAGTAGTGTTAATTTTGGCACCTGAATTTGATTTCATTCTTTTGATCAAAAATGCGTATTAGTTTTCGTCAAATATTTGTTTTTGTTACTTTTATTCAATAAAAACTAAATACATTTTAGTGTAGTATTTGTCTTTTTTTGAAACGTGCATTTTTAATGTTTATTTTGGGCTACGTATATCTTCTTCATCCTGGTTCTGTACATTTACCATGGTTACATGTTGTTCCTGTCTATTCTGAGGTTTGTCTGCATACTGCTGTTTTATTCACACAGTGTCCCTCTGCTCTGCAGAAGTTGGACTCACATTTGTGTTAAAATCCTCTTCACTGGGTTCAGCTAGAGAGGTGACCCTAAATCATACATAAGAATTTGTGATTGCTACAGTTTTCTGGGAGAAGTGGTACGTTATTTGACAGAAATGCAGGGGTGCCAGTATTTTTGGCTGTGATTGTATATCTGACTGACAGGAAGGTTATTGTTACATCTACATCCACAGGGTTTCATTTCATATTGTGTTCTGCTACATTTTACTAGTGTGACCCAGTGGTTTTTGTGCATAATTCTATGGATTGTAAATGAATGTGATTCATAAATCTGTTTCTTCCAGGAAATGCTAATGCCAGAGACAGAACATTACTGAATGTAAGATGGTAGTGAAGCACATCAAGCAGCTAATTCAACTCTTGAACAGGAGATATTTTGGCTGGTGAAGGAAATTGTTTTACTGATTAGGACTCCAAAGATGCAGTAGGATGTTAAGTTACTTCATGTCCAGTTTCCCGCCTTTCACGTTATTGCTTACTTTTTTTTTTGTTGCAGAAAAATGTAAAAGGTTTTGTCAACAAATATTTTTCTTAGTTTTTGTTAATGTTGAGTAGATTCATTCAAACATCTGTGCTGGATGTTTGAATGAATGTGTAATATCTAAAGTTATCTTGTTTCTGTCCTTACCTCTCTCCCTCTGTTTTCTCTTTTGTCACACAGAGCTGTTTTTCATGGGATTTAGCTTTGCAGCATTTTTCTTCTTTGTGCTCATCACCAGGACCACACAGCTGGATTATGACAGTGAGTTTTTCGCACATTTGTACACCTTGGAGTCTCTTCACATGAATAAAGCCACAAATGGGTGGAACTAGAACATGACTGTGATGTCAAAACCAAAAAACAGTTGTTTGTTTCCATTTCCTTGCAGTACGTCTGGCTGTGTCGGCAGTGATTGGTATGGTGGGCGGAGTCATCATGGTGATGAGTTGGTGGCGTTTTGGTATAGTCATAGCCTGTGTCATTGTTGTCGGCCTGTTGCTCGGGTTCCTTGTCGCTTCTACTGTCCTCTTCACTCCTTTCGGTAGGAAAAACATGCAATGTGAAGCCCTGACACTACACCAGTCAGAAGTCAACCCTCACTGGCTTTTGTGCACTGTGACATGTGTTTCTCCAGGTGACCTTGATGTGCTCAGGCATTCAGATGTGGTTTTCTGGGTAACATTCTGCTGCTTCATGGTCATAGTTTTACTCTTCTTTGTGCGTTGTCCCAGAGAGGTAATGGATTTAACACTTCCACTCATTACACAGTGTGAAAGATTTGTCATTCAACTTGGCACCATCTAGTGGTCATATTAAGAATGACACTGTCATAGGGACTAAGCTAAGCTGTTTAAAGGATGGTTTATCCCTTAAAGGTTTTGTGTCACAGTTTAGTCACAACAAACAGTGACTTTATCTAATTTGGCCCAAAAGAACCATACATGTATGTTTAAAGGTTTGGGGATGAATTCTACTGACCCAAACACAATCACAATGCACATATACAGTACTGTATACATTGTATCATGTTTCTGTTGTTAAATTGATACCATTCTCATCTCTGTATGTTAAGATTAGTTTAGCGTAAAGACTGGAGACAAGAAAACTAATTACAGATAGTTGTTTACACTTGTAAGCTATTTTGTTGTGCTTCAGCAGTGATACTTTACAACCAACTAAATACTTAATTCTGCATTTAAGAGTAATGAAAGGTATCAAGGGGGATTTGTTTGGTTTTCCTCTATAATGATAGCGATAATAATAAGGTCTGAAGCTTACTTTGTAAAGGGTCCTGAGATGATGACTTGTGATTGGGCCCTGCACAAATAAAATTTTAATTGAATTGAACTGTTTCTGGGTTTTAGGGTAACATCACCGCGTGTGGCATTGTTGGCGCTTATGCTGTCGTTTTGGCCGTCAACGCCTACATTTACACCAGCCTGTCTTACATCACCATGAACATCCTCAAACGCTTCCTCAACAACAGCTTCAGTGCAGTGTTCACTGATGTGCCTTTCCAAACCATTGGTGAGTTCACAGCTGAAATCAAAATGAAAATGTTCACCTCAGTAATTCAGATGATTGATGGTTGGTCCCAATCATGTCCTTCAACTAGATTACATCATGATCTCCGTGTGGGTGGTGCTCGCTGTCAGCGGTATTGTCCTGCAGCTGTACCGCGAGCATTCTCGGCCAGTCTTCCCTCCTAGTCCATACCTTCTGTGGGTGCAGGAACGAGAGCGCCGCAGGACCAACATTCTGGACCCAAGCCACCACTTCCCCTCACTTCCCAGCCGTTTGCTGGCCCGAGTGCAGCAGCTGACAAAGCGCAGGGAGCCAGCAGGAGAACACACACCTCTGCTCCTGTAAAGCTCAGATGCAAAGAGGACAAGATCCCTGTCGTGGAGGATCAAGGAGCTGTTGCTGCTTCATGTTGTTCTTCACGACTGGTGCATGGATTTGACCTCAGAGCAGCTGGCAGTGTAAATGACACCAAGAGGGATTTTCTTCCACGGACATTCTTAGGGTCAAATTTTAAGTGTTTTTTCTTTCTTTCTTTCTACAAAAACTGACTTTTTTTTCTTTCTTGACAACGCCACTTCTGTTAAACACTTAAATGACATTTTAACAATCAGTAAAACTGCTTGAGAAGAATTATGTTTGAATATCTATGTTTAATAACTGAAACGTGGCTGTTGTTGCTTTTATGGTGTCTGCTGCTTTGTCTCAGTTCCACCATTTGCACTAACTTCTAATGATTTACACAGTGAAACATTTTCTCCGAGGACAATTTGAAGGTTAACACCAGTGCAGTATTTAGTTGAGATTTCCATGTTGACATGCCTTCTGAAAATTTGCTGTGTAATAGTTTGGTCTTAAACTAAACACATAGGCCAGACTAATAAACCTTGAGTTAAAACATAAACTGCACTGGACTCTCTGAAACATTGAATGTTTTATGTTGTAGGCCAAACTCTAAATGTGTCATTTGTCCCTAGAATGGGCTACTATGAACAGTCATAATGAGGTCATGTAGGTCAGTAAGAATGTCAGTTTTTATGACCTGCAAAGTAATTTTGTACAGTTCTTTTTAGCTTTCACATAAAATAAGAAAAATCAGTCCTTCTCTGCAGTCACTCTGACAGATCAGGCGTTTTAACTCCTGATTGGACCAAACTTGGCAATCTGGTCATCTTTTTGTACTTTGCACACTAGATTTTGTTATATTTAATTGTTCTTGGTGTTAGCAGTGCTGATTATCTGTTGTGTGAATCTGTCACCTGTGTGTCAGGATGTCTCTCAGGGTTTCACACAACTTTTACAATGCACTGAGACAACTGGTGAAACCTTGTACTTGACCTTTAGGCCTGTCAGTCTATATTTTATGTAGCTAAGCTGAGCTGAACCTCCTGGTTTTGTGACTTTTTAGAGAGGAAAAAAATCGACCACAATAGGCAGATGTCTTCTTAAGAGTAAGGTCAGTTTGTAATGTAAGATATTTTGACATTTAATGCCTACAGCTAAAAACTTAATTTTCTTAGGTTTTGTCTTAACTTTTAAGTTAAATGTATAATGTGTTAAAATTGAATGAATAAAGATCGGTTGAGTGATGACAAGAGTTCACAAAGTGCATTTAATGAAGTTGCATAATGTATTATCAAAGACCAAAATGAAAGGGCAACCTGCATTAGCTGGCTGTTGGCCACCTGGAGGTAGCAGAAGCACATGTTTTAAGTTCTCATGAAACTGCAGTTAGTAAATGTTTCTTAGCATTTGCACATCCAGCAGCCACAGAATAACAGGATATATACACCTATCAGGCATAACAGTATGACCACCCGCCTAATACCGTTTACATAGGAGTCAATGTGGCAGTTGGTCGGCACTCCTGTCACTCTGCAGCTCACTGTGCATCTTCTGTGAATCCATTTGCTTCCACAGTT